GGTCTTGTCCCAGTCTCACCCCCTCAAGTTTTAACACAGTGAGAGAGGTCTTAGTAAAATCTAACCCTTGGTAACTGACATCTAGGTTTCCTCACTCAAGATTGGTTTTGTATAGGTAATAACATCATTTCGAATGCAATTTAGTGTTAATAAGCACGAGTAATTTTTTTTAAAGACAACAAAATTGCACGAGTGCGTAGGGCAAATGCAGTTTGTTGTCTTTGAAAAATTCCAAAGCGCTTAGTGCGCCAAACTGCAAGAGAAATCATATCATTACTTGTTAATAATGTATGCGACAAAACATCGCAGAAAATCGAGATTGACGAAATATTTGCAATTTATACTCGTGTTACAGCTTTGCACTCGAGTTTCAACTTTGCACTCGCGTTACATGTGAATGCATTCGTTGTTAGCCAATAAGAATCACGTAATTTTTTTCATGTACATTATTGGATCAGTTATTCTGCATATTTCAGGGTTCAACGCCGTATTTACAAACCTGGACAGAACAGGACGCACTGGTCCCAAATCACTTGACAATTATTACGCAGGTCAGGATCACGATGGACAAGTTTCTTTGTCGAGAGGTATTCAACTCTGGACTGTGCCTTATTCTGGTCACTACAGAATAGAAGCAATTGGAGCCGCAGGTGGTTACAATGAGCAGCGCGACGGCATATACGCCGAGTATCGAGGAAGAGGTGCAAGAATAAGCGGGACTTTTGTATTGATTAATGGAGAAATCATTCAAATTCTCGTTGGCCAGGAGGGGGGCAAGAGTGAACGCACAAGTAGTGGAGGGGGTGGATCTTTTGTAGTCAAAGAAACAAACGACTGCTTGGTAATTGCTGGAGGAGGTGGTGGTGTAATCGACCCGCAATCAAGACATGTAGGATGTGATGCCAGTGCAAACACAACGGGGAATCCTGGCTATAGATCATGGTCGGGGGGGAGCAATGGACATGGTTCCCAGACGGTTGATGATTGTAAAGCAGGTCAGGGTCTATATTATAAATAAAACATGACGATAAGTAATGGTAATGGAACTGAGTGGAGTCCAATTCGGTCTGTAATCATACGAGTGATAACAAAGTCGGACGACTGGCAGCGGGAATCTGTTTTGTTTATCGGGATTTATTAATCAAAAATTACAATTACTGGTTCTATGGTTATTGAGTCCAAGGTTGTTATTGGTTGATTTTAACTACAACTTTGAACGTGATTGGCCTATTGAATTGTCCAATAATAACAACTTGGCAAGTGAATTAGTGGAAAGTAGGAAATTATCAAACCAATCACAATCGAGGAAATTGTTATGTTAATGATAACAAGGGGAAGACTTCGATTAAAAAATATGTTGTTATAATTATCGTTAGAATTTTATTCGAGGATGGTTCCAACTGAACAGTTCACTTTAGCTGTTTTTAGTCTGAAACCGTGATTATTTACACCAAATTGAATCCGAACTTATTTGACTATCTATACCTATATCACTGATATTTGTTATTTGATGTTCAGGTGGCGGTGGCGGAGGTTTTTACTCAGATGGAAGGAGTGGACTGGAATATGGAGGAGTATTAGGAAATGGCAGCGAAGGTGGTAAGGCTTTTCTCAACGGAGGGAAAGGGGGCAGGGCCGCAATGCCTATTATGTTCGGCGGCTTTGGTGGCGGTGGTGGAGGTACACAATATAAAGGGGGTGCAGGCGGTGGAGGGGGGTACTCTGGAGGAAGCAGTGGGGTTGGTGTGAGCGATTCCTGTGGGGGTGGAGGTGGATCGTTTAACTCGGGAAGAGATCAGCAGAATGAATGTTGTTACAACTCAGATGGGCATGGTCAGGTGACCGTAACATTGCTGAAAGGAAACTAGCAGTTTACCGCATTAGGGCAACGGAACGTGCAAGATATGCTACGATATTACACTAAAGAACAAGCAAAAACTACGGACAGTTTGTATTTTTCCTCGCCCTATACAGGGATTGAAAAATATTCACGCGTATTATACGTGAAACCATCGAATAAGTTGTATTTATTGCCCATTAACGTAAAGAACGTAGAGATGAACCATTAATGGCGATTTATTTCAATGAAATGCGGCTACGGCCGAGGAAGGCCGTACATACCATTGATTTGAATATAAAAGATAGATAATTCAAAGGTGTAATGGTGTGTATAGAGATTTGATATGTTTGATCACATGTTTGATAAAACATTTCCTCTACTCGTGCCCTTTGGCAGCTGCCCTTTTTAATAACATGCGAAGGCAAACTCTAACCCCGGAACATGTAATCCTAATGCCTTATTAAAAAAAAAGAAAATCGCCGTATAGGGACCGAAGGCATGTCAGGGAGACAATGCCAAGGAAGACGTCCATTGGACTTTTCATCTTCATCTACAATTTTGCAAATGGCTGGACGCGTTTATCGTCTCTCAAGGCGCCCACCTCAATTCGGTCAAACATGTGGGAGCAGCCATGAGTTAAACATGGAAAACATGAATCATTTAACGTCGGGGTTAAAGTTCTCAGACCATGCAAATTTTTAATGAGTTCACCTTGTTGTTTTGCACAGGTCGGCTAAGAGACATATAAAGTTTTAAAACACACGCGCTGAGGTATTTTTCTGCCCATTAGATATTTTGTTTTGTCATGTCCTTGTTGCCGTCCCACTCGTGGTTTGACTTAGTCCCTTTTATTATGATTAAGAGCCACTTACTTTCCGTCCGGCCCGACCGACCTCAGTTAGTAATTACATACATTCTAATTTTTCAGAGGTTGTCGAAAAATGCCACAACGGCTATTAAACTTGACGACCAGTTTTTTTGATGATGTTTTTGCTGTTGTTGCATAATTTATGGTTGATAAAGATGTCTTATGAGACTTTTTGTGTGTAACATTGCAAAGCATTTTTACAAGTTGTGCCGTATGCGCAAAAGCCCGCAGGGCGAGTCAAAATAAAAATAACAAGTAGATATACACAGAGATATCACACACCAATCCGTCTACTAAGTTACTTTTATCCAGCTGATTAATTTTATGACCATTTCCTATAAGGCGGGACAACGAAAAAAATAAAAATAGAAACGAAAAGCGGTTTTTTTTCAGGTCTTGCGTTACGCTCACGTCGGACATGCACATGAGACGTCAACCTGTCAAACAACGTTTTACAACGATTCAATGTTGAGATACAAAAGTGACATATTATCAATGAAAACTGTATGAATAATTAATTTATTGCCAGTGGAAAAAACAGTATGCCTAAAGACAAACTCTCAAAGACATGAATGAGCTTTAGGTATTTGACAAAGGTGCTTAATCAGAACTTCAAACTACAGTTCTTTTTTCATCATCCACCCCAATCACATGTCGACAATGCTCCGTAGTAGTCTGCCGCTGATACTTGGTGAACAGATGGCTGTTAACCAAGAGCGATTTTCAATCCATTTTCATTTCTTCTTTGATACAATTTCAAACAGTTTTTTTTCGCAGCGCAAAGTAACCAAATGTCCAAAGATCGCTTGATATTTTAATTGGATTCGCCCATTATTTGTACTCAACGAAGCGAAGTTGCTCGTATCATGTCACGACTCATTTTTCATATCCTGTGTTTACTTAAAGAAAAAACATCTGTTCATTATGCATACACATTAGGGACACAGAACACAAAACACACGATAGCTCTAGGCAGTGTTGAACCGTGTAATTAAACTTTTACAGCTACAGATCAGGTACACAGAAGAGGTACTCATGTTTTATAGCATCACCTACGTACTATTAAAAAAAATGGTTGTGTGTTCTTCAAAAAAGCGTGAGTAACAGAAAGTTTGCTCGAAAGATATAAATATTTGATAAGTTGCGTGTGGCCGTTTTTTTTTTTTGCAAGGATCCAATTGCTAATCAGTTGGTGATAAGTATATTTATGCTTATATCGACCATTTTTTCACCTCGGGAAATTACGACCAAAAGTAGTCATGAACGCGTATTTTACAGCTTTGCCTTTGTCGTTTGGATTTTTCCTTTTATTTGGAACTTGGATGTGTACACCCGTAGAAGCCAAAAATCGCGGTAAGTAAAAAAAACAACAACAACCAAAAAAACCCAAAAAACATGCATTTTTTTCAGATCCACAAAAGATGCTCCACCTAAAAACGCACCTATTTTAAGAATAAAACACTCTATCAGATACTAATAAAATTGCGCTCGTGCTTGATTAGCTCAAGTTGTAGAGCGCCGGACTGCCGTGAGTGAGTTCGAGTGTACATCTTCAAGCCCTAAAACGGACAAACACTCAGAATATTAAAATAACTGGGGAGAATTTGTTGCCTCTGCTATAACATTCCCAAATGGTTAGACATTCTATTCTGTACCTTCCCCACCATTCTCTCTGCGCTGGTTAGAAGACGACGTTAAAGAACCCACGCACTTCTCGCAGAGAGTGGGAAACATAACTAACTATGTTGAGGTCTGGCCTTGTCAGTGTTTTAAACCAGCTCTGAGTAGAACTGGGCTATTCCGTCGAAATATTGCAACTACGTACAATACGTACACACTCAATACATTTTCTTGGTCAACTGATATCAGTGGATTTCAGAGAGAATTCTACAAAGGAATACATTATTCAGTGAATATTGACTCCTACATAATGTTTACATCTGTTGAGTCAATTTGGTCCAAGGAAGGCAACCTTTGTAAAAACCTTTCACGCATATATGTGTACTTAAGAAATCTGGTCAAACAGAGTTTATTTGAAAAAAAAAAAGAGGGGGGGGGGTAATTTTCGAAAGGAACTGTGGAACTGAGTTAGTGGGAGGTTTTACATGATAATTTGGTTTACAATGATAACAGTGAATTTGTCTATCACTTTTATAATAAAATATTTGACAGCACTTTACCGTTTAAAACAAAGTGAAAGTTACGATATCAAACTTCAAAATATAAAATAGGGCCTTCTAAATCATTGTTGTTCTACATCATCATTGTTGTTTTACTTTTTCTGCTTTTTTCCCCCATGTATCCCTAACTGCAGGACTCGGGTGTCGAAGTCTACGGTTTGGACAACCAGACAATGGATTCGCTCTCCAAGGTCACTTACTTAGTAATATAACGCTCAAAATGGGAAATGAACTCAGTGGTGACTTTAGATACGAGTGCCTGATGGAAAGTAATTGTGTGTCTGTGAACGTCGGGCCACCCGACAAGAATGGACTCAGGGTCTGTCAATTGAGTGATTCTGACCATATTCAACATCCCGAAGATCTTACGGCACAGGAAGGATTCCTTTACTGGGCTACCCAGGTGAAATAATAGTTACCATGCAAATAGATGAAAAGAGATCGAAGACAAAAATTGCGAGAGAATCGAACGCATATGGTCGGCTATTTTAACAAAGTTTAGAAGTCGTTGTTTTAGCGAAACCGCGTTCTAAGCCATCTTCAGTTTAGTCGAATCTTTTATCTGAACATTTATTTTTGTGAAAAACGCCAAGAGGGCCGAAAGCTGATAGTGGAAGAACATTTATTTATTTAATTCTATCAACCCTCTGATAGAGAATCCTTGAGGTCCTCTGCTTGCGTATAACTGCGGTTTGGTTTAGAACTGGTGTAAATAAGAGGCCTTTAGTGTTCAAATTGGAGACTGAGAATACTCCTTTTGGTTTTCTCACTAGAATCCGTGTTCCAGCAACCCCTGTGCCCACGGTGCAACATGTCTCAATGGATTCACAGACAAGAAATACATTTGCCTGTGTCCACCTAAAGCCATAGGTGAAAACTGCGAGAATTGTAAGCAACATTGTAACAATTATCGGTAGTTACGGTTTGGAAGCGTAATCACTTTAACATGAAATCCTTCAAGCTAGTGATTGTGTCATCTAGTTGTCTAAGTGACAGATGAATGACATGTCGACAACCTGAACGGAGCATCGAATGTGTTCTTAACGGACTACGAATTAACAAGCACATCAAGTACGGCATCAATGATGTAATGGTTTTTATTATTATTTTCATTATTATCATTATTACAATTATTATTATTATTATTTAATTTTCAGCATTCTCTGCGATCTTCTCAAATCTCGGTGCCACCGGAAGATATGGCCCAACAACGCTGGGCAGTCACTACACAGGTCAGGATCATGAAAGACAAGTTACATTGTCCAGCGGTATTCAACAGTGGACTGTGCCTCACACTGGTGACTACAGAATAGAAGCAATAGGAGCAGCAGGAGGGTACGATTCACACCCTAATAGCGCTCAGTATCGAGGAAGAGGAGCGAGAATGATCGGAACGTTCAGTCTGATTAAAGATGAGATCATTCGTATCCTTGTGGGACAGGAAGGGGGCTCTAAAGATAATGACTGGAGTTCTGGCGGTGGTGGAGGTACATTCGTTGTCAGACAAAACAACACGCCTTTGATAATAGCTGGAGGTGGAGGAGGTCTGTGTTACTTGATAAAACGGCATGCAGGGTGTGACGCTAGTACAAACACAACTGGAAATCCTGGGTACAGGTCAGCAGGGTCAGGCGGAATCGTTGGCCTTGGCGGGCAGAGTGGCAATGCCAGCTACGCAGGTGAGGGAATTTCCGGGGGCCTCGCGAGCTGGAGAGCGAAACAGGCGAGAAAGAGGTCCGCTAGAGAAAACCTGCAGACTTCTCGACACCTCGCCCCACCCACACCTCGACTTTCGGAAAACTTTCTGGAAAGCCAGAGGTGTACTTGTCTCAGCAGCAGCATTTATGAAAGCTTGCTCGTAGGCTATGGGAACACCACATCCAGAATGAATCAAAAAATTCGATTCTTGCTTATGGAAATTGACATCCGTATTGTAAAATTCAGGGAGGAATTTTCTCCCACTAAACGATTCGTTTAAATAAGGTTATATCAGTTATTATCGTTAAAAAGAACCTTTTTGGTATAAATGGTTTCATTTCACTTATTTAGAGATTTATTGATATCTTTTTTCTATCATTTTTTCTTTTTGTCTGTTTAAGTTGAATCCCCTTTTCATTCATTTTTTTAGGCGGCAGCGGTGGAGTTTTTTTTTTTTTTCCAACGGATCAGATGAGAACGCAGACGGTGGCAGAGGATTTCTTCAGGGAGGAGTGGGGGGGCAAAGGCAATAGGTTAAAAGCCAACGGTGGGTTTGGGGGAGGAGGAGGAGCTTACGGAGGAGGGGGTGGTGGTGGGTATTCCGGCGGAGGTGGCGGAGGTGGCGGAGAGATGAACAGGGATTCTTGTGGAGGAGGGGGTGGCTCTTTCAACTCAGGAAAGGATCAGAAAAATGAGTGTTGTTACCAATCTGATGGACCTGGTCAGGTTACGATAACATTACTGTGAAATCACTGTATAGAATGATTGGTTAAAATTATTTAATCAACCATTAAAATTTCTTCAAATGTGATTGGTGCGCTAACTGCTTTAATTTTCACTAATTTTTTTGGAGAGATGTAATCGGACAGTGTGAAGCAGTCAATCACACCAAATCTACTAAGCTAGCTCCACCAATCATAGAATTGATCACAATAACCAAATATCACTCATTTAAAGGAAAACTGGGAGTTTCCAGGATGGACGGATTTTTAACTTTAGAGATCTTTGGAGATATTTGTTCTAGATGTGTTTGTTTTCGGAAATTATAATGGCTACGATTAATTGGTAACAGGACTTCGTGTCGTCCATGTCTGTCTGTTATCATACTTGTGATTAAAAAAATCGCAGCTCTGAATTTCCAGTCATTTAAGGTAGTTGAAGCGAGAACAAAAAGAGGTTTTAGATCCCTTTTAGAGGTTTTACTTGTGATGTTTGATGGAGAATGAAGCATGGCAGCTGCATTATAGAGAGGCATCCTAAGTTTTCTTGAAAATGTAGTGATGAAATTCCTAACAATATGTAATGTGTAACTTTATTTACAATGTACGGAGGTATACTTTAATGAGCCTGTACGGAGTAATTCAGATTACACATTAAAAATTAATATCGCTTCTAAGACCCGAGAAGTGCATCCTCACTGTTAACTATATAACCTCGTTTGGAACGAGTTCCCCAAGATTCACCGAAGCAAGAAGGTAAGCCATTGGCTAACTGTGAATTTCACCTTTTCATTTTTTTGGGGGGATTTATGTAACTATCAAAATAGAAATACAAAAACAAATGAAGTATTAAGAAATGAATCAATACGAGCAAGACCAAAATACAAAAATTGTCTTAGAAAAGTTTTAAATCCTTGTAACCTGTCTCTCTATAAAACTTTGCAAAATTAACTTTTAAATGATGTAAGAATAAAAATAAAGAGAGCCTTGTAGTAGACGCAAAAAAATCATTAGAATTACGCAGAAAACCTTTCCAAATTGTCAGCGCTTCGCCCGGTAAAATCCCAAAGTTTCTGATAATACCAATCAAATATATAAGAAATCTTTAATTTTAGCAACATCGCCGCTTGAAAGACTTTCCTGAACGTTAAGTAGTCGCTGTTTATTCCCTTTTCGTCTGATTAATTTTTCATAACTCATAAATTGAGCAGAGGAAGGAAAAGAATATGTCATATTTAAAATGAAAGCAGACCTAGTTTGATCTATTTTGATTTGACTTTTATAAGTGTCTTGTATTCATACGGAACGTGATCCACCGGAGTCGCTGATGCGAAACCCATCAAAAATAAACGCGCAGACTCTCCTGGTGACAATTTCCGTTCAAGGACGTTGCTTCATTCATCGATAGACTAATAAGCAACAATAAATTCTTACGGTGTACTTACTTTTAATTATGATAACCAAAACCAGGCTACTTAAGTGTCTCAACATGGCACCCTACCAATTTGCACTGGCAATCGGGATATACATTTTTTTACTCATTTCTCAGCGAGATACCTCAGAAATTAAGTTTTACCCTAATTTTCGTTGCTAAATATAACGCAAACGCTATATTTGGTGGTGGCTGACGGTAGATTTTGATTGGATCCACTTTCCAACGGAATCAGATTTTGCTATATCGAAATTAGGAATATGAGATATTTCTTCATGCATGGTTTATTTGCTGTGGACACGGACCAGTTTGGCTAATTTTTATGAAGCAGTGTCTCTTGCTTTCATTAAAAGAAATTCATGTCCAGTGAAGTTTGATTTCGAACGTCACGAGGCAGTAAATGTTTCTGGTCCAATTCTCAGGCAGTGCGCAATGTTCAGACCGCCTGCTTACCAATACATCCACCTCTTTTTATTATTTTCGGGCTGAGCTCCACATCAGCTGAGTTTTTTGTTGAAAAAATGTACCTTGTGCGACGGGATTGTATGATTGCATTCTTCTTTATATACCAGCTGCCCTTATGAATTCTTCCGTGTCTTGTCGATCCGAACTTTCCATTTATGGGATGATGCTCCACGGACACACATTCAAGAAAACCAGGGAAGAAAGCTTGACAGAGTGTGTGATGGCGTGCAATAATGGTGCCATGTGCCAAAGTGTGAATTACATCATTAATGGAGACGTTTGTGAATTGAATAATCGCACGAAGGAGGCCAGACCAGATGACCTCGTTCCCCACGAAAATAGCATATATGTGACACGATTTAGTGAAAGAGGTATTGGTCGAGGCTCGAGGGTAGTCATGTAAAGGACACTTGTAATTGAGGCTGACAGTTGCTCACGTTTGGATGATCTGAGTAGAAGTCATCGTTATTGAATCTGATAATGACTCTCTTTTTGGCTACCAAAACGTCTTTCGCTGTTATCGGGGTCGGTCCTCTATACATTTCTCACTTAGCCGGTTAGACTACACGACACGAAAACATTTTACTCCTGGGTTCAAAATATTTACTGCAACAGTGATGTTATTAACAGAATAGAAATATATATATAGCCAAGGCTATATCGTCATATCCCCTGCATTTCTAAAGACTTCAATTAGACTGCGGGACGAGCGTTTCTTCGCCTGCAGGAGAGTTTTCGAAGGCGTAACGATGGCTATCAAAAAGGCATCATTGCTTTTTACTTACCTTAACCATGGCTATTACAGTTTCCTCAAATCTGATCGGTGCCTTAGCTGTAATCGGCTGTATTTGGACAGTTGGCTGTGATCGGACAGTTGAAGCAGCCAATCATACTAAATCCACTCAGCCAAATCCACCAATCACAGAATAAATCGCAATAACAGTAGAAACAATCACTTATCCTAAAAGAACTGAGGAATTTCCAAAATTAAGAATTTTTTCTTAGTTTAGGCATTGTCTCCACCGGAGATCTGTGACCCAAATGTATTTGTTGTTTTCGGAAATTGTAACGCCAATGATTAATTGGTATCAGAACTTCTTGTCGTATCACCAGCCCGATTTGAGCACTAATAGGAAAGTGTACGCTTGTAACTGGACAGTGTAATAGGACAGTTAAAGGGACAGTTAACTCGTCATCCCTGAGTAAGTGGACAGAACGCGTCATGTGCACGCGCTGTTGTCTCGCATTTCGTAGAGTTAACTGTTATTTTTTATGAAAACGTATAACCGATGTGCAGTTTCTTTCTCAAAAAAAACAAAGGAAAATAATATGGTTTGAAATTTCGTTGGACTCTTGTGTAGGAACCTTCTTTTCAAAAACATTATGAGATTGGGTGAGTTTAAAGCGCTTTCCAATAGTTTGTCATGACATCGATGTGAAATTAACCATAGCACCTCCCCCTCCTACTACTTTTCTTTATTCAATCACCAACCTGCTTGATATTGCATCATCCAGGATTGCGAAAAGATAAAAGCCAAGAGCTAAGAGGAATCTACCAGTTCGAAAAGAGAGATCTACGTAGTTTTCTTCAAATACAAGTGCACATCACAACTTTGACAGCTTGGATGCATGCTCTCCATATATGTGTAGCTTCTGAAAATGAAGAAAGTCGCATAGCTGATAAAAATTCCTTACAGGGGTAGAGAAGGGCGAAATCTCATCGGTTTTTCTGCTCCCTTCCCTTATGCGAATGGTCCCTAACCAAGAGACAATTAACTGATATTCTCTTGTATCTATCGATATCAAACTGACTGATTCCCCTTTACAGGACTAGTTATTTCTGTCATTTCTTTAAAAGACTGATTACAGAAATATGATAAAATTATCTTACAGGTCTTAAGCTTTTAAAAGTGAGTAGTTTTATTACTTCTTTGTAGCAAGTAAGCAAAGAAATCACCCTCGCAAGTGGACTGCAATTTAAGGAATTGCAGATAAAGAGCCCGAAAAGAATTCAGCTCTCCACGGGATTCGAACTTATGCCTCCCATTGGGAGCTCACGTTGGGAGTGAGGCTTGATAGCTCAGTTGGTAGTACAGTCCAGTGAGTATTGGGGAGGCATGGACTCGAAACTGCTGAGGCCCGAATTTTTTCAAGCTTCTTTTTAGTACTTCCTTCAAATGCAGTCAACTTGGGTAAATTATTTATTTGCTTGATTTTCATCCGCAGTTAAAATGAACTTTATTTCGTCAAAAATTGTGTAAGAGGCGTGATACATGTAGTAAAAGCTGATATTTTACAGTTCCATTTCTAAGTAAGTAGCTTTTTCAAAAGGAGAAAGATGATCAAGACACCGGAAGTTAACAATTACTAATCTAGTAAAGTAATGGGATTCTGAGGGCAAAGTTAATGTTGTAAGAAAAAACGAGAAGAATTCCAATTGTGATTTCTTCATTAATTTTTCATGCAAGAAAAATCATCTTAGACAAAAAGAAAACGTTTGCAATAAAAAAGCTGCAGTTATCATCTTATTGGATAAGACGAAGAAAGTTTTACTCAAAATCGTCAGATTGTGACGAAATAATACAATAAGCATGGGCATTAGCTTTTCCTGCAGCTTCATGAATCTATTTACTTTTATACACAGGCAGCGATCGAGTTGTGAAATAATTATGAAATTCTGTGGTGTTTGAAAAAGGATACGGCTGACACAAAAAGACCAAAGAGGGTAAACAAACAAAGTCCTTCCAGATATCGTTCAAACCTATCAAACGCAGCTTATATTGCCGTGTCTCTCTCTTTGTCTTTTTAGGCATTAGTAGGGATCCCCTTCAGCCGCACATGTCTCAAAAGGCTGTCAACCGCTGGTTCCTAGCTGTGACTCTCCCACGCAACCCATCTCTTGTCAAGTACCGCCGCCAAGGCCGCCATTTCACGGCGTCTGTTGTGACTCTTGGAAGCGTCAAGTTTGACGTTCCAGTGTAAAACTTTGAAACTTGCCTAGAAGGAAGAAGACTGTTCGCTCTTTACGGATATCTTCTACAGTTCGGGGTAAAGTTAAAAAAATTGTAGGGGTCTCCCTCGTTTATTACCACAGAATGATATAGTCTGTATCTGGGTGTCGTTGTTCTTTT